CCAGGTGCCACAGGTGGGTCTCATCACTGCTGATTACAAGGAAAACCCAGGTTACAACAGCACCACATGGTGGACAACCACAGGGTTGTCACAGCCTGTTGGATACAAAAGAAATTCATAAATACGTCATATTATTGTATAATAATTACATTCTTGCTCTTTTTTTAACAGTGTGAAGACCTGACATATCCACCCTGCTGTATCTGCAGCTCTGTCAGCTGACTGTAAACACCAACAGTCCAACATGCAACAACTATTTATTTCATAGCATTTAATACATGATTTTTGATCAGAAACAGTCAAATACTAGACCTTGTCAAAAAATATCCTTCCACAGAAAAAATATTGCTGTGGATTATCTTTCCTAGAAAAATGGATAATCGAAAAGAAAAAAAACATATACAAATGTTTTCATTTCTCTGACTCTAAATAATGTGTTCTCAATTGTGTCTTACATCCTGTTTTATCCCAAACCTTTTGGACTCCTCGCTGATTGGTCAGGATACAGACAGCTTCCTGGTAGCCTCAGTGTCCAAACCGTCCTTGAATTGGACACCGGGACAGCTGAATAGCACTTCCTGTGGGAACGGCATGCATCGCATCACATCCTGTTTGTCAGAAGGCAGAGGATGAGGAGACTCTGGACAATTAAATGAACCCTCTGACCATTATAAAACATAAAAGGGGAAATTGACTCCGTAATCGTTCTTCACTTTCAGACTGTTGAAGGGAAACCTTGACCTTTCAGAGATCCATCCATCCTCCAACGGCTCATCCTGTTCAGGGCTGTGGAGGAAAGGAAACATCCCAGCATGCTTTGGGTGAGAGCTGAAAACAGCCTAAAAAGGTAATTGGTGTACTAAAGGATTAACCTATATAGAACAGAAAAATGATGTAACTCAAACTCAATGTAAAGATGATATATAATATTATGTACTAAATATGGAATATGAACTCATTATCTACTAACGAGGAAATAAGTACTCCGATGTTATACAAAAGAAAAAGAAGCAATACTATATTACTAACATAATTTCTGACAAGTAAAAGTCCTGCATGGAATATCTGCCTTAGATAAAAGGGTAAATTTTTCCTTATTTAATTTTCTGCAGCTGGATATTTTAACCTTCAATCATAAGTCAATGTTTATTTATTTGTTGATTTATATTTTGTATTGGTTAATAACATGAATCTGTAAAGTAGCTAAAGCTGTCAGATAAATGTAGTGGAGTAGAAGCATAAAGTAGCATATCAAGAAAATACTCAAGTTGCAACTATATCAACATTTGACTTAAAGAGCAACTTGCAGGTTTTTGTTTTTTAATAGATTTATGCTTAACCTTGCCTGAAAATTACAGTTAAAAAAGTTAATGCAGGATTTGATATGTTTTACAAGACATAAGGGCAGGAATTCAGAGGAAAAGGAGCCCTTTTCAGCTCTGCTACTAAAAACTGCTTTTTTTTAGCATCATACATCAAACGCGTCATATTACGTCACATGGGGGAGCAACTTTCTCGGACTCGTTCTCTGCCCAATCCGCGGTAGTAGTTTGCAGTGGTTGTGATTTAGTGAGCTGGTATTTTTTCGGTAATTTTACATTGCATTTCACAATTTTCTTATCTTGTCCTGTCAGGACATCGAGTCCACAGTTTCCCT